GTATAATTCCATTGTTTTTTGAATTTATCACCAATGTTATCAAATAAAATTGTTCCCCATGGTATTTGATTGACCAAGTTTCTTATTTTTACGGGTAAATTCTTGGAATTAGGATCAAGATATCTATGACCTGAACTAGTTGACTTCTTAATACTAAGTCCATCTGTTCGTCGGTTGAGTTGGTATACCATTTTTGAAAATATGGAAGTGAAATATATTGTTTTGTATGTTTGCTATGTGCATTATGTACACCATGTCGACTATGTACACTATGTTGAACATGTCGACTATAATGAACATTCATCTATCTAAGGTAATGATCCCTTCACTTACAACTTTTGGGAAGGCTATTGAACAAGTACTAACTGGATTTTTGTCAAGCTTTCAAAAAAAAGAAAAATAATCACAACAAGAAGGGATATATATAAATAATAATAATGGTAATAAAAAAAAATAGAATAACAATATAAAAAAAAATAGTGGAACTGTCGCTGCAGAGGTAGAGATGTGCCGCGTACAGTACAGTATGCAAAAAATCTTTTAGAAAATTCTAGAACAAATCATTAAAGTATCCCTATCTCAAATTTTTGATTATGAAACTGTCTTTGCACTCTAACAGAAATTGTTCCTTGCAAAATATTACATATAACTGATTTACAAATGCTACGTATGTTATACGCATTATACAACTATACGTACTGTGCGTACTGTACGCGAAAAAAATTCAGTATCGTATAAATGGCACATCGTTTTTCGAAAATTTTTTATAGGGCGAAGGCTGGCTTCTTCGTTAGCCTGTAAACAACACAATAGCAAGAAATACAGGGAAGTTTCAAGAACAAGGAACCCAGTGATACCTTCGTGATCATCACATCACATGATTAACCCTCTGGCCTAAGTTAGGGTTAGTGTTAGGCCTAGGTAGTGATTGAACCCGGGTTGGGTTAACCCGGGTATACCCGGGTGGGTCGGGCATCCGGGTTATGATTGTGTCTACCCGGGTAGGCTTGGATGGGTAGACCCGTGGGTTTACCCGGGTAGGGTTAGACGGGTTAACCCGTGGGTCTATCCGTGAGCCAACCTGCTGTCATAGCTGTTTTCATAAATTCTGGAACACCTGATAAAAATTTGCCGAATGCTTTACATTTCGGCATAAATTGATTCAAACCGATATATATAATTTACAGCTATTATCATTATTTCTGGGACACCTGAAGAATTTTCTGATGACCGAAATATCCCCTGTTTCATTCGGTAAATTACCTAGCTCTCCGTAAATTACATCGCTGTCTTCGGACTGAAGGTCCGGAGACAGCGATATAGTTTCCGAGAAGCTAGGTAATTTACCGAATGAAACAGGGGATATTTCGGTCATCAGAAAATTCTTCAGGTGTCCCAGAAATAATGATAATAGCTGTAAGATCTGATATTGAATACGTCGACATTATGATCGTAAAATTAACTGTAGAACAAGTATTACGTGTAATAATATACATAGATCATGCTGAAATCAATAACTTAACCGAATCGGCCGAAAAATTATTCGGCTAATTTTTAACAGGTGTTTCAGAGTTACAGCTATTATCATAATTTCTGGGACACCTGCTCATTACCCGAAATCTTTTTGGTCGTTCGGTAAATTACCTA